CCGCTACAGACATGTAGAACAACAACAGAGGCTGATCCCGGCTGCTTGTCTCCTCTGACCTCAGGTTAGCACTAGAGCCAGCCACTGTAGAACAACGGGTCAACGCTCCCAAGTCAGACAATGGAATGTGTTTGCTGTTCTTCCCATTCTGCCAACACTGCATACACACAGCCTTAGATTAGCTTAGCATAAAGGCAGACAAGTCATTTTATTTCTGTTTCCTGAGATCAGAAATCACAAGTTTGCCTTAAGGGGCTTTACATTCTGTGCAGCTTACGACAGCCTCTGTCGGTAGATCCTCGAATCGGATCAGGAAAGTCTCTACAAAAACCTAAATGTGAAAGAAATGGCAGAAACCTCGGGAAGAGACGCAGAGATGGGCCATAGATGCTGTGTTCAACATAACTGATTTCAGTATAAACGGGGGAACGTAACTCATTCTTACACTTTAGTACAAGTTAGACCAGTCAGATAATGTGTCAGTCCCTGAGCTTCAGCGGTGAAGTTAGGGGGACTCGAACTGGTTGTCCCTGTGCCCAGTCTTTATGCTAAGCTGCCATAAATCTGGCCCTCAGTGCCTAATTTTATAAAGACAAGATTAGTTGGTTCAGCAAGAAATGGTGTAGTTGACCAGGTGTGACGGCTTATGATGATAACGGCTTAATGGGTTCAGTGCAGTTCACTTCCTCTGGAGCCAGGACCAGAGGTGTGAGCAGCTCTGTGTATCTCACCAGCTGATGTAGGAGTGTGAATATCACTTGTTCTGATTCCAAGTCTGCTCCTCTGTCCTGCCGCGCTCAGATCTACCCTCCCATCAACGTGCTGCCGTCTCTCTCTCGTCTGATGAAATCTGCCATCGGGGAGGGGATGACACGCAGAGACCACGCTGACGTTTCCAACCAGCTCGTATGTGCACACACACACTTCTGCTTCATACAGCACATACTGGTCTTCTCCATCCCATTCTGAAAGCGCATGTGTGTGTGTGTAGTATGCGTGCTATGCCATAGGGAAGGACGTCCAGGCCATGAAGGCGGTGGTGGGAGAGGAGGCTCTGTCAGCAGATGACCTGCTCTATCTGGAGTTCCTGACCAAGTTTGAGAAAAACTTCATCTCCCAAGGTACAGTGGGGCGCTGCACACCCCTCCCAGTTAGAGCTGCTGGTAGAGCTGAAACCACTGGCAGAAAATGAGTCATTCTGATTGTGAAGTCATTTATAAAGGCTGCAAAGATCTTTAACAGTGAAAACAAGTATGAGCAGGTGGGAGAGGTCTCTCTTCCTGGATGGGACATGATAATCACTTTATTTGGCCAAGTATGTCACACACAAGGAATCTGTTTCCAGTACAGAGCCGAGGCAGCTGTGTGCGGCGCCCACAGTCACGTGTACAGCTTTAGATTTACAGTCAGGACCATCAGGATGACAGAGAGATGGTAAATGTATATGAAGTGTTTGTTCTGGGAGTCAAACAACTTCCATGGCCAAAGTGTAGCTGCAGAAACCAGCGTTGAGTTTAACTTCTGAAGCCTTAACGACACATTGAAAGCCGTTAGTGAGACCGATGTGTGTCTGTGTGCAGGTGCCTATGAGAACAGGAGTGTGTTTGAGACTCTGGACATCGGCTGGCAGCTCATGAGGATCTTCCCCAAGGAGATGCTGAAGAGGATCCCTCAGAGCACCTTAGCTGAGTTTTACCCCCGAGAAGCCAAGCATTAGGCCGACTCGTCCGTCTCTGCTTGTCCTGCTGCTTCTGTCTCAGTGAACCTACATGTGTCCATACAGTGCCGTGCCGTCATATTTGATGCGATGTTGTAACCGTAATGACACTCGTGACTTTCATGTGGCCTTGACTACACACCTATCCTGCTTAAACACTAAGCAGCTGCAGACAAACACAGATGTCTGGTGACCGTGTGAAGGCGAGGGACGCCTGTCTAGGGCTGTGTTTAACGTCTGTGAGGAGCACGTTCTCATTGTTGTGTCCTGCCAATAATTAACACACAATACCACACAAAGACCAAAAGTACAGAAGACATGTAATCAGGGGCTCAGTTGGTCTTAGGCCCTAATCCTCACATATGTCCTTCATTTCAGTATCTTTACTCAAGCAGTGACCTTCATTGTCACTGATTCGGCTGATGTTCTTCCTGTAGATATACAACACACAGCCTCATAAAGCTCCTCGGCCCGTGGACAACACTACACACACACTGAACATCCTGCTCTTTATTCTCTGCTCACAAGTGACAGTTAAAGGCTAAAGTGGAGCTTCGCCAGCACGTATCTGTCTAAACCCAGACAGACTGTCATGTGCTGCCAGCAGGTACAGGTCCTGGTGTGGAAGGTTTCAGCTGTGAGAACCTCCTGAACAAAGCCACGTCTGTCATGGAAGAGGCAGGAGGTGAAGTTATGGGATGTGTTTCATTCACGGATCCTTTCCTGCTCCATGTTGTTGTGGTTTCTTTAGGTGATCCCTGGTGGTTGACTACTCCTCTTATCTCTAGTCTGTGAACACATGGCTGCTGATGTGTCAATGCCTTCCTGTGTGAGCAGTGTGTGCGTATTAATCAGCTGCATGCTCCTGCATGGATGTGCCTCCACTGTCCTATGAAATAAAAGCTGCTGTTGCTGCTCAGTTGTTGTGTTTCTATCAGCAGCTCCAGTATAAACACGTGTGTATCTGCTCCCAATTACACCAGTGACGCCTCAACAACTGGTTGTGATGAAATGTGGTTCAGACATTCGTGTTGCCTCGGATCCATTGTGACAGCTTGGATGATCCAGTTAGTGCCAGTTTATGGAGTTTAACGCAGTGCGCGGAGAGAGGACGAGCCAAGTCCACCAAAAGTCACCAAACTGTGCATGTAAACGTTCTGCAGTGAGAGGCTGCTTTCTACAGCGGGACCGGGGTCCACATCAGTCCTGATCTCCTTCGTCCACTCCGGTTTCTACCTTCCAGCAGCAGCAGCACTTTAACGCTTGTTCGTTTTTCTGCTGCGGGTTTTGGATTTACTCCTGTCCGCTTCCAAAATCCTGCTGTGGGGTTACATTTGGGGCCTTTACGTCATAATGCACAGTTCCAATGGGCAGTGACTTCAGGTCGCTCCCACGTGCACAGCTCGTGACGCGAGCCCCTCCCCGAGACCTGCGGCGTGACCCGGGAGAAGGCAGCTGGAGTCCACTTCCTGTGAGTGAAGGTATCAAACGGTGGCCTTGTAGCAAACCACACAAAGTTAATTCAACAAAACTAGCGCGAGGTCTGGCACCTGTTAACGGCACGTGCTCAGGTAGCAGCGGGGGGAGAGGCGCAGTGACCCGTTGACCTCACAGACCGTGAGTCCCTGTTTGGTCTGTCTTTTCTGGGGCTTTACTCCGGTGTGTATCAGCCGTGTTACCCGGCGGAGAGCGGAGGCTTTGGCTTCAAACTGACCCACTAAAGTGATGCTTTTGTAGAAACCATGTAAACAACGCTGCTTTAAGACAGACTGTTAACTAGTCCTGGTTCCTGGATGAAGGCCCGCCGTGTGTCTGCGCTCCGGTTTGGTCCTTAGGCTGTGCCGCGTAATGAGACCAGAGCGTGTAGAAGCCGTGTTGGAACATAAACCGAATGTATCTCAGGATTCAGCTGCAGGTAACTGGTACGTACATCACTGATTAATGTGACACGTGGCTCCTCCATGAAATGATCATGTCCATGAAATGTCAGGAAAAGACCCTGCACATTCCCGGAGGCGTATCCTGGTGGCTTACTTGGTGCGACCAGAGACTTTTCACTGGCAATAAAGTGAGAGAAGCAGGTAATGCTCCCGGTGGAGAAACGGGAACCAGCGCGGGTCTAGTCAGAGAAACTGATGTGGCCCCCAGTCAGCGGACTGGACTGGGACTCGGGGTGCCGAGGGTTTTAGTGTCTGAACTAAAGTGAATTCGCAGGCTGTTCAAACCTGGAGGTGGGTTATTAAACCAGAGGTTAATTCTCTGAGATCGTGTCAGTGATTTTCTTGACTTCCAGAGGAGAGTCCGCCTTGGCTGCCAGTGGGAGCGGACGGTGACCACAGAGAGGCGCTGTTGGCCTGTGGACGTCTTCGGTCCTGGTGAGCAGACACCTACCATCCCTCTGTGGTCCACTAATACGGTCCCTGAGTCTCCTAAATGCCACCAGGTCATGCAGGAAAGTTCAACTCAAAGACCAGAGTCTTCGTCGGTTAAGTGGCTGATACAGAGCAGTGTTTTGTCACTAAATCCAAACAGTGGCACAAATCACAGACGTCAGGGTCCACACACGGAGCTCTGGGCCTCGGACTGAGCAGGTTGACACTTTACAGACACTGACGGAGGCCAGACCACGTCCACGTCATGAATGCACCTGAGGATTAGTTGTAAACAAGCGATCCTCATTGGAGAATGGAGCAAAGTGAAGCCGCTGTGATCTTAGATCAGAGGTTCCCTCCTTTTATTAGTGAAGGTTGACAGACAGAATGACAAAAGCAAGTTTATGTGCTCTGGGCCTCGGACTGAGCAGGTTGACACTTGACAGACACTGACAGAGGCCAGACGACGTCCACGTTATGAATGCACCTGAGGATTAGTTGTCAACAACCGATCCTCATTGGAGAATGGAGCAAAGTGAAGCCGCTGTGACCTTAGATGGAGGTTCCCTCCTTTTGTTAGTGAAGGTTGACAGAGACAGAATGACAAAAGCAAGTTTATGTAAACAAATATAGGCAAAAACTAAAAATTGCACATCTGGGCTCAGGTCTCCCACAGTGCAGCTCCCCCCGTGGTCCTGTGAACCTAAGTCCATCAACTATGGACGTCACTATGTGAGACTGTTTGTCAAAGTAACACGTAACGAGTGAGGAAATCATTTCTAGTGAGTCGTCATCTTGTACAGCCTGTCGCTTTGATT